AATAATAATTTTTATTTTGAAATCATATAAAAAGAGAAGCAGATATTTTATTTAAATAAAAGCTCAATAATTTCAAATCTATATATTAAAATCTTTTTTTATTAAATCTTATTTATTAATATTATTCTTAATTATATTATATATTTTAATAAAATTTAAATGATATTTTTTATTATATAAATTTTTTTATTTCAAGATTCTCAAATATAAGAGCTTTCTTTTTTATAATAAATTATTATTTATTTATAAGTTTTCTTATATGGTTTGAAATAAGTATAAGAAATAAGTTAATATATATTATTAAGTTATTTTTTCTTTAATAATTCAAGATATTTTTAATAATAATAAGTATTAACCTAATTGTATTTTTCTTATCATATAATATAATATATTTAAGATTTTATATAGTATTAGAATTAAGTTGGTTTTTAAAAAATTATTAAGAATAAAAACTTAAGCAATATCAAAATTATATAATACAAAACAAATAATATAAATATAAAAATAGTATATTAAAATATAAAAAATATATACTATATATTTATAAAAATCTTATTATATAAATAATATATAAAAATATTATATCAATATAATCAATTGTATATATTGTTGTGGTGAAATCACAACGAGTCAGTCACTTCGATCTGTCTCACACTGTGTAACGATCGGGGCGGTTTCTGCTCAAAAGAGGCATGTGAATTTGGCCAGAGTTCGTAACGCTATGTGAAAAGGTAATCACAAACAAAAAACTTCCCAACACTACTCCGCCTGCTGAACATCAAGCCACATTTGAGAAGCAAGCGTGCCAGTCCTACTTATGACTTGGAGGCAAACCTGTATAAAGTGGCTGCAGCACCTTCATGTGATTAGGCATTCAAATTAATTTCTAGTTAGCTAGACGCTATTTAAGGCCATAATATAGGTTTTAAATATTCTTTTTTACTATATTCCTTGAATGGTGCCAAGGAGCTTAGGGGTGACCATTATAGGTCTTGCATTTAACTCTTCTTAGCAAAGAGAGATGTATGTCATGCTTTCCACATTGTAAATCTTGTAACCCGCAAGTCTAAAATTATAATAATAAATGATAGCGCGATAGCCACTTGCTCCTCAAAAAAAAAATAAATAAATAAAATTCATTATGAGAAACAAGTTTACTTAATACATAAAAATTGTTTTTATTTATAAAATAAAAAGTTTAATATATGACAACCATTTTTGTTTAATTATAATAATTTTTAGGTGGTCCTTCATTTATTGGAAGAAACTGTATATAATAAAATTTGATCTATTAATTTATTATTAATATATAATAATATATAATATGAATTCTATATATTAATAATTTAGTTATAAATAATTAAATTATTATTTAATTATTAGATACTATAATTATTGGAAGTTTTGTATTCAATAATTATTTATTATTAACAAAATATAATTCAATAGTTTAAATAAGTAGAAACAAATAGTATATATGAAACTATTTATATTTATAAATTTGTTAAATTTGTTAAATTATTTATTTATTTTATAAAATAATTAATAAGCAATATTATATTTAAAAATAGTAAGGTTTCAAAAAATTTATCATCAGTTTTAAATAAATTATAAACAATTATATTGCTTTTTTTTTTGAACAGTTAATAAAAGATATATAAAATAAAATTCACTATAGATTTTTTAAATAAAAAGATTTTAAAAATGTTTTTGAAACTCAAAATATTCATATCAATAAATTAAAACAAAGTTTTTTCAAAATTCTAAAATTTTATATTCAGAATCAAAAGAAAAAATAACATTTAATTAATAAAAATATAATAAAAATATTAATATATCAAAAAATAATTTTTTTGTAAACATATACAGTATATACAGTATATATATACTATATATTAAAAAAAATTACACTTATGTGTATGCAGATAAGTCAAATTTAACCAAGACTTTATACATACAGTATATGCCAAAAAAATTTATAATGATTTCAAAAAATCAAAAATATGAAAATAAATTAATATTTTAAAAATAAAATATTATAATAACTGAAGCTCAAAGTTGAGAGTATTGATATATTGAATCATACATATACTGTATTTCAACAACATATTTTGAATTAAAAACATAAATGTGGGAAAAGTATATCTGTACGAAAGATGCAATTGGTTATGGACGGATAGGGACACAAATGAACTTTCATTTGCACATTGCTTTAACACAAAAATATATGGAATCTTATAAAAATTGAAATATAATGATTATTCCTGTTATATAAACATCGCTGCATGCTACTCAGCATCCGAACGTTGTTTTTTTTTTTATCAAATCACATATGTTATATGTGAGACTAGTATTTGTGTTTTAAATTTTCGGCATTTAAATCGAATTTAGAATTTTCCCTTTATATGTAACCATATGTTTAAAACTTAAATAGGATATTAATGTAAAATATAACTTTATTGCTGTGTTTCACTTAATTAAAGCTAGGAGTACATTTATTACAATATCGGTTTTCTTCCTTTCGATGAGACCAGTTACAAAGGTCACTCTAATTCTATGATGCTTAGAAATATACAACACCAGTGAAAAACAAGGGTTATTTGACTTCCTTATCGTCCTCGTATCAATGTCACCTTTGTATGTAGAAAGTTAGGATTCTTGCTTTAATTTTTCTTCCTCCTTGTGTCCAGGAACGTGTGTCGTGGGTTCTAATTCTTGCTTTGCCATTTCTTCGCCCTTGTGTCCGGGAACGTGTGTCGAAGGTTCTAATTCTTGCTTTGCTATTTCTTCGCCCTTGTGTCCGGGAACGTGTGTCGAAGGTTCTAATTCTTGCTTTGCTATTTCTTCACCGTCGTGTCCGGGAACGTGTGTCGAAAGTTCTAATTCTTGCTTTTCTATTTCTTTACCAATGTGTCCGGGAACGTGTGTCGAAAGTTCTAATCCTTGTCCTTCTTGACCAGGTTTATAGTCATTAAGATGGAACATTGGTTTTTCCCCTAAAGAAACGTGTTCAATCTCAAGTGGTGTCGATTGACTGGGCACATGGGGTTCAAGAGCCGATTCTGGCGATGGTCGAGAAAAAATTTCACGGATGGCGAAGATGATAATGAAAGTAAGAATAAATGAAAAATTTCTAAGTTGCATTTTTTTATATGGTTAAAATATTTTTCTTTTGAGTCTCTTGCCTTGGAGAAAGAAAAAGTACATGAAGGCATCTTTATAAAAAATAAATTGACGCGGCGATTTTTCGATTGAAAGTTGTGAATCACAATCATTTCGCCTGGTGTGTAGTTTGTGATGAAATTATAGCCGAGCTAAAATTTTTAATCACTCAAAATTTTAATCAAACAATTTTAAATGGAATTAAACGATCGAATTAAAGATAATTATCAGTATGATATAGAAAAAGTCATCATAAATAACATCACCTCAAAAGCCGATAAAACACAATAAATTCGCGTATTGTTAGCATTGTTACATCTAATGAACCGCTGAATGGTAATCAATCCCATAATTTACCGAAACCATTATAAAGAAAAATCTGCAAGCAGATGGTTTTCCCTTACACCAAACTAAAACAACCAGTGATGAATTTTTTCAACTGTTCAAATTCTTCCTCTTCATCGTGCGGCGAAGAGGGATGATGATGAAAAGTACCCGACTTTACTAACCACCTAATGGGCACTTTGAAATTCTGAGGTTGCGAATTTTTGGTATAATGAGATTTAATTGGTTGCCACAAAGTTTTTCCGAATTGACCAATGAATTTCGCCATCACGAATATAAGTACTGTAACCAATTCTAAAAACGTGCAATGTCTCGATTGTTTAAATTAAACGACACTTACAACTTCCGAATCGATCTTCCATGGCAGCACATAAACCATATAGTTTTCTGGTCCATCCCATAGGAAGGTTTTTTGGTCCCTGCGCAAGCTATAAGCAACCTGTAGAAATAATGAGTTTTAGCTACGACGACAAACGGAACTTGCATATGGATGATAGAGAATTGGTTAGTAATTTCGAATGTTTTGATATCATTCCAATTGAGGAATGGCCGATGTAAAATTTATAAATTTTAGAAATATTATTATCCTCCGGATTTGGAGAATTGTGATCTTTCCCGTGGTTATGAAAAGTTTATACAAAGAGAGGACGGTAGCGGTCCGGCACCGATTCATTCATTATTGGACGCATTGGCCCACACTAAAGGGTTGTCCCAAGATAAAAATTTAACGAGAGCCGATTTGGTATGAAGTTAAAAGCACGACTTTTCAATTTAAATATTCATAAATAACAATGATGAATCCCTTTTCAAGGTATCCTGGAGAGGCATTTTCACAAAGATCCTATGCACACCCTACAACAGGAATGAACCTTGGGAATTGGGTGCTACACTATGGAATGTGAGCAGTGGTTTCTCCATCATTCGATGAACAATATTGATTATGATGCTAAGTTCATTATCCTCGAATTACAGAATACCATGTATATGATGTTTCGTTTTATGGTCTAAAGTTCGGGAGTTGCGCAATAAGCACTGAAAAATCTCGTAACATCTGACGTTACCATAAGTTTTATAGAAGAACACGAGACAGAATACACGAAAGAAAATGCAGATGGAGCTACGCCAAGGCACAAATTGATGATTTACTGGGGATATAAATTTGAAAATCTGTGCACTATCAATAAACCTGCTTCCCAAGTTAATTCGGTCGAGGATCCCGAGTTGTTAAGTCGAAAAACTTCGGTGGTCAACACCAATGTCCAATA